GAGTGAACAGATTGGCCCAGATATTCCGGACCACATTTCACCAAAAACTGCTGTTTGTCAAACCGCCGTCAACACCTACCAAGCGGCGAGTAGGCCTTCGGCCGTACTCGGCAATCTTCGTAGCCAATCAGGTTGCCGCTCGCCGCCCGTAATCTCAGTAATCTCGAAGATGGTTCGGCTCCTACACCTACACCACCCTACCCTACCCACCCTACATTTTTCAAATTTTGGCTGGCATTGGCATTCGGCCTGATTCTCCCTTCCTCTTTTCCGTAATTAATAACAATAAAAAATTCATTTAGTCATTGTTTAGCGGCACCTTGTCCAATTTGTGCCTAGAGCCTACAACTAGGCAAGTTTGGACGTTACCTTTTGAACATTTCATCCCTTCCCTTTGAATACTCTTCACATATCACATGGGACCTTTATCTGCATATTTACTTGGCTTTTTTCGTAAAGGATCTTTTAAGAAGTAAATTCTCTCGATAACTTATTGGGGATGGTCAAGTTACCAATTAGAGCCAACCATTCCATGCCATTATTATTACAGGACAATGTTTCTTTCCTATAATTTGGTAGGCACCGTAAGAATTATACGTAACCTCAGTATTTGATCCGTGCCTTAAAAAATGAGCCACTTGTGGCAGAACCATCTTGGTGATGTTCTATAGGAATTTTAACCTTATTCTATTTTTTCAGCAGACGAACCTCACATGGTTACTTGTAAAGTCTTGCTTCATTTTCCTTGAGTTCTACTTAGTTTAGTGCCAAACAACAAGAAAATTCATGGAGAAACATGCCTTAAAGGTGATAGTTCCCCCTCATACTTACTGTCAGAGTTCCGATGGAAAAAATTTTGTTGTCATAGGTAAATACGGTTTCCATTGTTTCTTCAGCTGCTAATAGACAACTATGCAGGTTTGCTGGAGAATTTGGTGACTGCTAGGATTGTTAATTGGTATCTCCGAAGTTTGGTTGTTATAGCTACACTTGAAGCATTGGCTTCAACGCAACGCAAAACCAGAACCTTGGAGAGACCAGAGAACATCCATAAGAAAGTAAGTGAGGAGCAAGGTATACCTATCATTGTACATCCATCTAGTTTTCACAACTACCGTTACTGGAGATTTAGGATTCAGATTTGCACATCAACCAATAAGTTTTTCGCCCCATCATCTTGAGATAGAGGCTGCCATGCAAGGCGCAGCCAGGTAGTCCAATGCTCATGGCAAGGCGCAACCAGGTGCCAGGTAGTCCAATGCTCATGCCACTCAATCAACACAAATATTATCCTAACTTACTACAAAATGGCTTGTTTCTTCTCTAACAATGGAACCGGAAAATGTTACTTTAGACGCGCAGGAAACTTCTTTGGTCGAGATGAAGAAAGAAACGTAAATGAAGAAATGAGTCCGGAACATCTCGACCGGTAGGTACAAGACAAGGTCCGTACAGGCCGCTTTGTTTACTTTAGGAGTCCGGAGTATCTCGCTCCAATTTCACTTGAAACCACAATGAACAGATCAACGCGGTAACTGATATCTGATTTAACGAAATGGATAGATGGATGCGGACGAAAGTTCTTTTGTCGAGGTGAAGAAACGATAACGCTGAGAAAATTAGTCTGGAACATCTCGACGAGATCTGCCCTGCCAGATCTGCTTTGTTTATGTCCGGACTATGTCGCCGTTTGTTTGTTTACATTAGGAGCGAGTTTGACACCGATGACAGATTTTGGTCTTTGATGAGAATTTGGTCTGGAATATCTGGGCCAAACGCAAAAACCCGGAAAATAGGACGGACGATCGAAACGTTGTTTCGCACGAATCAAGGACTGGAGCCGACGCGACGCGACGCAGAGTAATGACCCGCGACCCGCGCGGCGCGCGGCAGCTCACCGTGGATCGAGTCAATCAGGGAGGTCGCTCGTGAAATTTTTGACTAACGCTAGGGGAAAAAAAACACATTGGATCTAGAGTCCAGACTCTTAAAAACATCGACAAGAAAAAATACTCTTGATTCAACCGGATTTTTGCTTAAATCAAGAACCAAGCCTCTTAATTTGAGCGGATTTCCTTTTGATCTAAAAAAAATCCGATTGAATCAAGAGTATTTTTTCTTGTCAATGATTTCAAGTATCTGGACTCTAAATCCGATGTGTTTTTTTCCAGTGAAAACTGCAAATTTTGATGTTTGTTCCACCATATTTTAAATTTCAAGGGGTGATTCCGAAAGAAAATTTTACGCAGAAACCAATAGA